TAGAATGCTAAACCCTATCCGCATGCATTTCTAGAAAGAAAATCATAAAAACCTGAACTATTGAAAGCAAACGACAATGAAAAACTAAAAACTTACCAGTTAAAATAAGAAGAAAGGCTGGAAATAGCAGCAACGAGCAGTGAATCTCAAGAAATGATGGTAGTCGACAGTCGAGTGATTACGAGCAGTTGAGAGAGAAAACGAAAAAACACTAAACTCCATACTCCTCTTGTATTTATAGTTGGGACCATCCGTGTGTGCGAGACACGCGCCTGGGAAACCCTATGGTCGTCATCATTACACCCTAGCCCATACGCCATCATTGTGCCGCTTCGCCAGCACGCTACCCGAAACACGCCACCTCTTCAAGTTCAAGGCTCCTAACAACCAACTCCTTATCTCCCCACAAGAAAGGCGTAACAAGAGACACTCATTCTCCCTGTAAGACGCGCCCCATTCCACGAGCAGGTGTTAAAGTCATCATTCTTGTTCCTAGAAGCAATAACTTGGGGGGAGGGGATACTGTTATGGACTGGCCCGATGGCTAGAATGGGCCCACTCTAAACTTTTCTTTTGATAAGATCTATACATCCATGGCCTGAACCGCCCCCACTTCCCGTCAGGAAATATCGACCCTTTGCCCTCCCAAGCTGGCGCTAACCTAGGATGATCGACGAGCACTTCTCAGTCTGCCCGGTCTCAAGTTGTACAGACAACCAGGAGCCGGCCAGACCGCTGCTCATAACTTATCTCCTCCTTGGAACCAACGACTAGTTATAAGCACATCTGCCCAGGTTGCCCAAGTCCTGGCAGTTACCTATTTTTGTGGACCCGTATATCCAGGCCCAAAAACAGGAACCAATTATCATGCACCAGACGCATTATATATACCCTAACACTTGTGAGGGCCAGGTACTGAATATTCACTATTCACCATCAATACCTTAAAACTTTGCTTGTATCTCATTGTTCCCACTCTTACTTGATCTTCGGAGTTTCTTGCAGGTACAACCCCCTTTTTTCCTCCCCGACATCATATCCCGACTGCAGATCATCACTCGACCACCTTGTAGGTTCTGATCAACTGGTAAGATTATAAACCTTGAAACATAAACTTATGTAGATATAACAAGAGAGAGTTGAGTATGGTAATGAGCTCGGCGAGAGGTGTGTCATCGCAGAATCTAAATTGAAGTGGCGGCTTCGCACTATTGAAGTAAACAAAAGCAAGGTGAGGATATGTTTGTGTCATATCTAATTTATGGTGTGTGATGTCTGATTTGTGGTTTATGATGTGGAAGGAATGGTTTAGAGACCCTATTTATAGAAGATTTGGAGAAATTTTGTCCCAAGATTTCTTTTCCTGTGTCTGGGCATGTTTCAGAAATACACTTCCGAAACAACTTCGGAAGTACACTTTTGAAACATTCCCTAATTGTTTTTTTTTAAATTTCGAAAATGTATATCTGAATTACGCAGAGACATAACTCTATCTTGGATATTTTTGGAAGTGCATTTCCAAATTCATCCCAAAATTTGATATTATGGGTGCTTTCAGAGATGCATCCCGGTTTCAAAGATACTTGTACAAAATGTCGCAAATTTGAAACCCATCCAACACAGATGATACGATCATTGGGATTTGGTGGTGAAGCAGTGCATAGTGAGAAATAAGTTTCTAAGAAACTATATCTTGTAAGATTAATACACACTCTTTTATACGCACTTGCTATAAGATGACCCATTTCTGAAAAGTGCATTCGTTTATGCTCCGGTGCATTTCCACTGATGCAATGTACAAGAGCGTTATATATGTCTTCAACCTTATCTTTAGTCCCAATCACCCATATGTATCTTTCTCTATTTTCCCTAAACTCTCTGATAAGAGTATCGCGAACAAGTTGGTGATCATCTTCACCTTTACCCAGCAAACCAGAAACAATATGAAAACCACAGTTACCGTCACCTGTAACATTGACGATTCGTTCAATGTACTTGTGCATAAAAACTGACATCTCCTCAATGAATGGTATTTTTGGTGGAGTCGGTGTAGGAGGTGGTTTGCTAATACGGGCTCCTTTGAAAATACTTTTATGAGATTTTAGAGTAGGTGAATTGGAAAATACTTTGTCAATGTGTTCAAAATATGAAGGACTTCTCTTTGTTGAATTGTCGACCGTTTTGGTTTCACCTTTTTAGGCGTCTCTTTAGTTTTTACCGGTTGAGAGGGTGGTTTCAAGTCAGTGGTCTCCGGAAATTCAATCTTCCTCAATTGCTCTTTAATGTGGAGTTTGGTGGACTCATCGGTTTTCAAAAATCTTTCTTGTATCGCTTCACATTCGGTCAAGATGGAGATACTTGATTTATCGTCTTTTATTTTACCATCATCTTCAAAACTGTGTCTCTTCCAATAATTCGAGACCGCGTCCATCCATATCGGGCAATCAATTTTCATCTTCTTAGATATGACACAAACACAAGGGAATCTAAATGTTTTCACAATTGTGCAACCACACTTTGAGCTATCAGAACCTACAATAGAAGCTCATTTGGCTTCGTGAAAAATGTAATTCAGAGCTGACCAAGAAATGATACCGACCAATTGAGAATATAGTGTATTATCTTTAAATCTGTGTTCCAACACCGTGATACTACGACCAAATGTTGTTTGTATCTCATTATGCCAGTTTAGTATCACATGGTTAACAGAATCCCATCTCGTAGTCAAATCACCCTTGCTATTTCCCATTGAATTCTTCATACATGCATGAGCAGACACAACTCGGTCCATTGTTGTATTTCTGAGGTGCATAACTTGATCGGTCCATGCATAAACAATCTTCTCCTTCACCTGATCAAGTATTATGCTTTCAACATATTTCAATAGATCGGGATATTTCACACAAACATTCCTAAAATGTAAAACAACATCAGTGTATATCTCTTTTGTAGATGAATTTATGATAACATTTCATGCATCCGTAATTTTCTCCACAATAACACCAGCCTTGACCAGTTTTCCATCTTCACCTGCAATATGTTTTGTCCCCACCGTGGGTTTAACCCGACTTCTCACATTTTTAGTAATATGGTACCTACAAAGTAATGCATAAGAAGCATGAAACATTGTTGCCACCGAATTCATTAATATTGTATCTCGGTCGATAACAATGACTTTTGGCATATCTTCTTGGTCCTTCAACATTGACCGACAAACCTCTAAAGACCATGCAAAATTGACATTTTCTCGCACTCTAGAAATGCAAAACCAATCGAATACATCTTCCCAGTTGACGTAACACCAATAATTTGCAACAACGGAAGCTATATTTTTTGGTCTTATATGTTGAATCAATTATGAGCACAGTGGGAAACATATTGAACAATTTAATGGAATCGGGATGAGTCCAATAAATATCTTTTATTGTTACCCCATCCTCACATATTCGGTTCCTACAAACATAATTATTTTCATCTAGAAGTTTCAAGAGATGTTGTATTTCAGTTTGACCCCCCCCCCCCCCCCCCTTAGCGCTAATTTGGATAAATAGCGCCTATTGTACACTTGCTTGATATTTGATGTATTCTCGGGTCTTTTGCGCTTCAAGGTCGCAAGTATGTTTTTGAGCAGTACCAAATTCAATGTCATGTCGGAAACACATGTCTTCTCATCTGGAAGGAGCCGACATGCAATTGGATGACCGACTAACCTTAAACTTAAATCATGGTTGTGTAAACCACATATCACAGTAAATCCCCATTTATTATTTGCCATAAGATAACCACGTAACTTAAATGGACATTCACATTTCCTTGAACCGGTGTCGCCGCGTTTCAAATTTTGGGTCTGACACATATATTTTCCACTTCTTTCGCATGTCAAAATCACAAATGCACATCTTATATCCGTACCATTATCAGACCTTCCAATCACAACACCAGACCCTAGTTTGGTAGCCTCTGCATGAATCCACTGTTACATGTCTTCACATAATTCAAACTCTTCTTCAATTTCAAAATTGTCACGAATATCTACCACCTTAGTTACGAGAGGAGATACGAAAGGTGAAACAACTTGAGACGCATCAGGTTTGAGAATGTTATCTGCATGCACCATACCTTATGTGATAAAAAATTTAACTAATTAACACACAGTTGCTGGAAAATAAAGTACTCCCAGGAACCGAAAATACATTTCTGATATTGTTCTACTACTAACCGGAAATATATTTCTTGTTTTAGCGTAACTATAGCAGAATGAAAATTAAATTAATGTGAAGAATGAGGATTGAAATGAATAAACTTTACTTGAAATTCTACTTCCCTGAGCTCCTTTTGATATGATGAACCACAAAAATGAAGATTTGGAGTGAAAAAATAGATTGAGAATGAAAGGGGTTTTGAGAAGGTTTATGGAAGGAAGAAGAATGAGGTTGATCATCCTTCAACATGCTGGTTACTGTTTTAAGCAATTTGCATTTTCCGTAATACCGAAAGTATATTCTGATTATATATAAAATTGACAAGATGGCAGGAAATTCATTATTCCCGCTGAACAAATCGGAACTATACTTCTGATTGCAACCGAAAGTAAATTTTCGATTTTGTTCTTCTCTTTTAAATATAGTGAAACCACATTTGATTTGTTTGTGTGTGATGTATTGTGCATACTAAAAATATACTTCCGATTTCAAGGAGCAGCTTAGAAAATAGATGGAATTTTTCTTTTTAATATAAGTGAAAAGAGAAATTGCCAAGAAATTCTCCATTTATATGAGGATATTTTGGTCAAAATAATTTGAATGTAGGGATAGTGGAACAAATATGGGGATATGGAGTAAAATCTTCTACATACGGGTTATGGTAGCCCCAAACCCGGTCCACTAGTCTATGGGTTGGCCCATCGATGAAATCCGAACATCACAATTTCATTTTCACCTATTTTCTCTCCCAAATCAAACCATCACACTTCTCATCACAAACCTTCCCCAACAACAACAATGGCATTATCAAATCTCCGACGACTTACCCAATCCCACCGCCTCCCCTCCCTCTCCTTCCTCACCCACTCCCCCATCTGCCGCCCCACCTCCACCCTAAAAGTCTCCGACCGCATCGTGCGTCTCTCCGCCATCGATTTCCAAGGCCAAAAACACACCGTCCTCGGCCTCACAGGCCAAACCCTCCTGAAAGCCCTAATCAACACCGGCTTAATCGATCCCGATTCCCACCGCCTCGAAGAGATCGACGCCTGCTCCGCTCACTGCGAAATCAACATCGCTCAGGAATGGCTCGACAAGCTGCCGCCCAGGAGTTACGACGAGGAGTATGTTCTGAAGCATAATTCGAGAGCTAGGGTGCTTAATAAGCACTCCAGATTGGGGTGTCAGGTTCTGCTTAATCATGAGCTTCAAGGTATGGTTGTTGCTCTTCCTGAACCCAAACCATGGGACACTTCTTAGGGCTTTTATTGAAAAAGTGTTTTGTTGTTGAATAATGTGATTGAGTGAAAGAGATGAAGTAATTGAATCTTGTTGTGATTTATTGTCTTCTTGTTTTTCTAGTTTGCAATTTATCATGGAACTTTTTGTTATTTGAACTATTGTGCCTGTCATTGGCAATGAAATGTGCTATTAATAATTATTTTCAATGTTTAGATTGATTCTATTGTGTATTGGTTATACTCCATTCATTTGTTTTTTATTATTCATTTTGTAGAAAAAATTTGTTCTTATTTAGATATGGTTTTTTATCTTTTGTCAATTATAACCTGTGTAACACCGACATCTCTGAAAAAAGAATGTGTGTGTTTGTGTCCCTGTCGGTGTCCGTGCTTCATAGATTATAACTTATTTTATCAATTATTTTTTATTGGTGTCATTGTGTCTTCTTTATAGTGTTTTGGGCGTGATGTGACTCTGTCCCCCTTAAACTCGTTAATTATGTAAACTGTTTAACTCTGAAGCAAAAACATGGACACCATATACGACGTTGACAATGGTAATTATTTGAAATAATAGAAGTGATTGAATGTAATTACGTGTTTTGGTGTTGTGTTCAGACACTAAAAGCTTGAATGTGAAGTGTGAGGGCTATATACCTCTTCAATGCAATTAAAACAGCGTAGAACACTAGAATCCTTTTGAAGGCTAAGGAACATGGGGTGTTTGGTTTATAGTTGATAAACTACAAATGTATGTTTGAATCCAAGTATCTATGCAGTTTCTTTGGGGAAAATGTACCTTTGAACTGGGAATCCAATCCTACCCTTGGAATGTCGAGCTAGGAATAGTTGTTTTAGGAGGCAATTGGAGTTTTATTGTGGTTGTTTGGATTCTGTATTGGTCACTTTTGAATCTTGTTAACTGTGTGTTGGGTTAATCATCTTGTGCAAGGTAATGAGGGTCTTGTGTTTTGATTCTACGTGTTTCCTATGATGCTTTAGTTCACTGTTTTTGGGGAAATGGGTAGAAGGTACATTACTGGTCCGCTACCGCCATCTGTGTTAAACAAATTATCCCTAACCTTGATGATTAATATTATGGCTAGAGAAAAGCAGTAGCACAATATGTGTAGGAGATTACACAGTTTCGTATTTATTTAAAGTTTAAGATTGCAAAGGATTTTGAAACATTAAGTCCAAACATAAATAAGTTGTGTTCATTTTCATCACAAGAGAAGGAGAAACTTGTGTTAAAATGAAATAGTATTAAAGGCTTCGAATTACAAGGAGCCAAATTGAAGGTATCTCTTTTTTGGTCAATAAGATGGATGATTTAATGATTAGCAATTATAGATGAATGATGTTGTTCAAAATCCTTCTTTTCTTGAAGTTTGGAAGCTTGGATAATCAATAGGGTTAAAACAATATGAAGCTATAATACAGGAACCTTTTGATAAAGAAAATTTGAGACATGCTTGGATTTTTATATTAATTAATTGAAGTTTTGTTACTGTGGCTAGGGCTGTTCGTGTTACTGCAGCTAGTAAAAGATTACCCGATCCAAACTGTTTCAATTTACCCCGAATCGAACCGAACCAAAATTATTGGTTTGGTTTGGTATACCGGTTCGCAGTTCCGAACCGTACCAGATCATTTGAAGACAATTTCCCAAACCAAACCATTTGTTAAAGAACTGGACCGTTATACTTTTTTTATGAATTTTTTAATAATAAATTTTAAACCTGTTTTTAGCATTTTTCATTATCAGTTTTGGTTCGATTTATTTGCCTTTTGGTCTGGTTCTAGAAGTGTTTGTGCCACACATTGGTTTGGTTAGGTGGTTCGGTTCAGGTTTTTTTTAACAGTCCTAACTGCAGCTATAAGTGTCTATATTATGGGGATAGTATGGTGTGTTCTATTTAAAAGAAGTTATAATTTTCAATTATGGATTTTAATACATAAGTTGTTGGTTTTGATTCTTTTTAAAATACTATGCCCTTCTAAGTCTACCTCTTAGTTTAAGTGTCTTCAATTGCTTTCACCATTCATCTATGAAACACCGGTTAATGGTTCAGTTATTTTAACTTCAATTTGGTTCGGTTCGATAGCTCGGTTTGGTTCTGCGGTTTTTTAAACAGTTCTAACTGCAGCTATAAGGTGTCTATATTCTGGGGATATCATGGGTGTTCTATGTTAGTATCTCAACATAATAAAGCTTAGTATGCTTCAAGCAATTTGAAAGAAGTTATAATTTTTAATTATGAATTTTAATACAGAAGTTATTGGTTTTGATTCTCTTGGCTTAAAGTATCTTCAATTATTTTCACCATTCACCATTATATAGTGGTTAGATGGAAAATGACTCTGATCACTGGTGGTAATGAGTTGGGTTTTGCTTGGTCCTCGTTTGCTGCTAATCACCTGTTCATTTGAGTAGATTTTATCCTGATAATTTGTGTAGGTTTCAAGTTCAATTCCAGTTATTTAGGTTTTTCTTGTATATAAGAAAGGGTCCTCTACCTTTCTACGTCCTCTACATGAAAATAAATCACACAAGATTTAGCAGTGTGATTTCTCACCTTTCTAAGTGCATCAGCGTTTGGCTGATTTGAAAGTTCATTTTACGTCTATACCAAAGCTAATAACAAAATACTAGAGATTGATGATTTATCTACTGCCTAGGAATATAGTTTATGAATGCATTGGTAAAATGTAGGGCTGTTCATGATTCTGTCAAAAAAAATTGGATGGAACCATAGTAAAATGTCATATGGATTGAACCAAATAGTTTTAATTTATTGGGCAATGCTAACCGGTTAAGGATCATTAATTGCATTATGAATTCATTAAAGATTATAAAGTATGAGACATTACGCATTATTACTTTCAATTTTCATTTATTGCTGCATAACTAAATGTCTCGTTGCTTCTGCATATTGTATTTTTAATATCTGTTATATTTTTTTAATTCCAAATAACACTACTTTTATTCGAATTGATTTTTTTTTGTTGTTATTTTATTTTACTCTTGCAATATTTTATTGTTAATTTATAACGTGTATTTAAATTTTTTAATTAATTTATTTTGTTTCTAGTAAACTAAGTTCTCATATTAAAATGATAATAATATTGAAATGAAGTTACAATATTAAACCCCAGGGTATGAAAGAGAAATCGAATGAATAAGTTAATTTAACTCAACTTAATAATGAGATATATTTAATTATTATTTTTTCCAAAAGAATAAAAGTGTGATTAAAGTTCATTTATTACTCCTTATCAAGGGGCATTGGTTAGCAACACTTTAGTTTATTTAGCATCAAAACGAATTAAAATTATTGGTCTAATAATAGCGGTTCGGAATTCTGATTGGTACCATTAGAATTTATTTTTTCAAACCAAACACTTTGTTAAAGAATCAATGTGTTACACTTTTTTTTTTAATTTCTTTAATAAATAATTTTAAATTGGTTTTTAAGTATTTTTTTTAGTTTTGATCGGTTCATTTGTCATTTAATTATTTGTGCAACATTAAACATAACAGTTTAGTCGTTTTAACTTCGGTTATGTTTTTTAATGTCACATTGGTGTGTGTATATAAAAAAACAAATCAAGATTTTTTATTCTATTTCATGTGTTTTTCTAACGTATAATGTGAAATTTTAAAAATATTTCTAAAATTAAAAATATATTTTTAGTGTATACTTTTACACGTATATAATTCATTTATTTTTAAAGTGCGTTTTATTTTACAGTAAAATTAATATCGAAAATGCACTTCCAATATAAATTAAAAGTATATCTTCGATTCCAAATTAATTGAGAAATATCCTAGCATGAAAACCCTATTATATAAACTACACAAAAACATAAAGTTTGCATAAAGTATACATTGCATAAATGAGTTTGTGAAAAAACATATTTAATTCTTTTATAAAACAGTAAAATAATCATGTTGTTTGTTTTGTATTTATATACATATTCAGAATGTTTTTTTAGCATTAACTATATTTAAAAAAAATATAAAAATAATCAGGTTTCAGAGAAAATTATGTAAATAACTATGTTTTTTAAAAAAAGTGAATTAAAGATGAGGCGTTATTTGAATTGGCGCCTCCTATGTATTTTTTAAACTTTTTTAGTTATCTGTGAATTTTCTTACAGATTTAACATTATCTACGGACTCACCAGCGGATTTTTCTACAGAATTACTTGTGGGAGATTAGTCTGCAGGTAGATCCGCAAATAAATCTGCAGAAAAAGTCAAATCTGCGGAAAAATCTGCAGGTAAATAGAAAAAATTCAAAAAAAAATTAGGAGATGACTAGGCGCTATCTCACTTGGCGCCTCCTTTAAAAAAATTAATGTATGTGCCATCTGAGATAACTACTGCATTATAACATTTTATGAAATATAATTGATCGTACCTGATCAGAATGGACTGTCATAGCTTCACCGAGCAGAGTTTCAGTAAGGTGAGGGGAGAGATATCTGCAAGACACTCTGATGCCAAAGTAAGTTGCGGAATGAGCAAGCAAGCGTGAGAGCAAGAAAGTGTTGAATATATGGACCTCTCGAAAGAGAGGGTATTTATAGCCCCAACACTGGGGCAAGGTCTCTCTCTACATTGGGTTGGTCAAGCAAGCCCAACATAGAGACTTCCAGGTCCTACGTGAATAGTGGGGACCCGCACGCGGTCCCCTACCTGGATGACGTCCTCCGCAAGGTCAGGAGGATATGAATGCGATCTTTTCAGGGCCACGAAGACTCCGTGATATCCGGAGACGTTGGTAGTCAGCCCTGCGGGGAGGATGCTCGGGAGGGGCATCTGCCTGTCGTGGGTGATCCCCGCCATACGTGAGGTCGAGTGAGGGGACCAGTCTTGGTCGACGAGCTAGTCGGGGTGTCCTCGAAGCCTTCATGGTCAGAGGTGATCGTCCTTAGTCTACTCGGAGTGTTGTCCCCGTGTGGTGAGGTTGTCTCCTCGTGGGAAAAAGGTGGTAGTTATCCGCCGTATTC